AATGGCTGTCACCAATTTGTACTGACAACGAGTCCCCTCATTGTCATGCATAGGCCACACTGCTTCATAAATTATTTCTAGACTATTGATTGAGGCCAATCAAATTTGTCAGGTTGGCCGAGATGTAAACATTAAGTTAATTATAAGTTATCTGAACCACCCATTGTATAATAGAAATGAATTGTATGTATATGAAGTACCCGGTGRCCTGTCAAAAAAAGAGCCGGTAACCATTTTGTAAAACATCCGACATTATTCACTTTGCTTTTTAGCAAGCGAGAAGAACAAAACGTGTAATTATTATAATTACTGTATTATATAGAAAGCAAGACTCAATAGTCATTTTTAATTGTTTGATAAAAAAAACGGATCTTAAACCTTATTGAAAACGGTTAAACCGATGAGATGGCGATATTTATCCTGAGTGGGATAATATCAATATCCTATGACATCATACTAATAGTGGAATTCAAAATATTTACCCAAATTTGAGACCTAATAGTTAGCTGGTCACAAAAATAAAAAGAACTCTACTTTGCCATTTTGAATATACTGATTAGAGATCATCGTAGATATTAATCGATTGTCGTTTTTTATTTTTATTTTGTAAGCAACTCAAACACCAAAAGGTCAAAAATAAATCAATTTCACATAAATTTCGTAAATATTATGAAACAAAGTCAACATATATTTTAATTTTTATTGCTGATTATGTTTTTGACTATGTTATAGAAAATTTTATATTTGTTGTCGATATATTTATTTTTATTCAAGTGTAAAAACATCTCTGAATAATGAAATGCAAAAATTCGCCTTCATTTCTATTTATAAGTATATTTAAAAGAATGATTCGTAATTAAAATATATATCAAATAAGAGCTTATACCATGTTTAGACCGACACTTAATCACACGATTTAGACTGTTGAGTGGTTTATTCCACTAATCTTACAAATTTATCAAAATTTCGCCATACAAAAATGACAGTTCAATATCACTTCATCGAAATGATTTTAAACTGATCCACGCTAAATCGCTCTGTGCGCCTTTTACTTGGCAGCATTGAAAATCTAGTACATTAACACAGCTGACACAAGGAAAAAATGTAAACAAACAATTTTTTTAAAGCAATGAATCTAATTTTAAAGCAATTTAATCTAACCGACTTAACAAATGAAAAAATGCCTCCATTACTTCTATTATATGGAAAAAATTATAAAATAACGGCTTTTATTTCAAAATACTATATGACAATATTTTCTTTTGATAAATATTAAGAATTGAGAATTCTTGAATGACAATAACAGCTGTTTTTTGATCTTTCTAACGGCAGTGCGAACACTGTTAGGTTATGAAATGCTTAATAGCGGGATTCTGTAAGCAGTCTCTAATCTCTATTTGAGACATTTTGTGACTAGTTACTATTCACTAAACAGTCTCTAGCTTTAGCCTCAAAATATTGCCTCAAATTTGAGACCTGGTAGTTAGCAAGTCACAAAACCAAAAAGAACTCTTGTCCGCCATTTTGAATATACTGAATAGAGATCATCATAGATATTAATCAATTGTAATTTTTTTATATTTTGTAAGCAACTCAAACACGAAAAAGTTAAAAATAAATCAATTTTACAAAAATTTCGAAAATATTATGAAACAAAGTCAACATATATTTTTATTTTTATTGGTAATTATGTTTTTTGACTATGTTATAGAAAATTTAATTTTTGTTATCGACATATTTATTTTCATTCAAGTTTAAAAGCATCTCTGAATTATTAAATGTAATAGATTTTGTGACTGTCACTTACAGAATAGCAAAATTGGCTCAAGTCTCAAAAATTGTCTCTATCAAATTTAGAGACTTGATACTGTATCACAGTACAGAATAGCACGGTAAATGTAATCTTAAAACCTTTTAAATTTTCGGTCTGAACATGGTTTTACTTGTTGAAACGCTAAAATTAACCAAACTATTACGCATATACCAGCTACTTTTTTGAAAATTGTGCATGGTCTTTTCTCTTTTAACATGTTAATATTTCCATACGCTTGAAAGTGAATAGTTCTTCTCTTTTTTACTGTTTAAATGTGTTTGTGCAATCTGTTACCTACATCTTGCAGAGATATAATTGACCTGACAGACGAGCAAAATTTTTTTATTGTTTTATTTTTGTATTTTTTGAAAATCGGTATAAATATAAGGAAATTCGTTAATTATTAACTATGTTCAAAGATATCTAAAAGCAATAATTGATTGTAATGCAATAAGAGTGCGGAAAATTTAAGAATATTTGAAAAATAGATAGCAAACCGTCCGTTTTTTATTTTCTGCCATCTGTTAAAAAATACCAAAAATCGGTCATTTTTGAGCAGTTTTGCCTACTCAAATTTGATAAATTCAGCTAAATGCACGAAATTTTTGTGCATTACAAACTTGCATTAACATGGTTCAAATGCGCAAGTTAATGTAAATTAAACCCGCAATGCAAATTAGCTCTGTCGTCTGTCAGGGCTATAAGTCACTTTTGAGCCAGATCGTACTAAATAAAAACTTGTGAGCATTTAAGGGGTCAGTGGGCAATCTTTTTCATTTTAATTAAGTTAATTACTTTTTTATTGATCAACATTTTTTTTTTTGTTGATTCTAATAGAGACGAAAACCATTCACGAACTTTTTAAGAATAAATTGGGATTTTGTGTTTCAGATGATCCAAACATGAGAAATCGTATTCGCCAGTGAAAAAACGCATTTTATTTTGACCAATAATACAAATATCACGAAAAAATAAGTCTAAAGTGGAAAAGTTTAGATATAATCTTACAGCCCTATTCACATGCTCTCACAAAAAGCCACACGTATCTGTTGTGAGCAGACTTTATAATTTTAATCCTTTTTACCGCTTCTTCCTGCTAGTCAACAAGGTCACAAAAACAAAAAATAGTTCTTCCATTCAATTTTAATAAAATAATTGCAAATTTCTATAAAAATATTGAAATTAACAAGACAAACACAACCAATTTTGTATTGTGAGGTTTACTTTCATGCATCGCAAATTTGTGAGGAAATCGAAAGTATTTGAACTTTAACATACAACCTCAGCATAAGGAAGGTTGTGATCTATTTCTTTATTTCTTTTTTTGTTTGTTTTGGTTTAAAGCAAATTCTTACGAGATTTGAAGAAAAATAACATCACAAATCAGCTGTGAGGTTTTCTCTGAAGAACATCCATAAGATAAAGCTCTATCAATTGACAACAATGAAAAAACGAGTTTAAGGAACAAAAGTTTTCTGTGTGAACGCGAAGTGACGATATATCCATTGTGACTGGTTATGTCGAAGAAGAATAAAAGTTAATACAATTTTAGATTAAGATTCAGATACGAAGTGAAGAAAGTTTTAAATTCGATTTAAAAAAGGTTTTCCAAATGGATTTTTTCAACACTTGCATTAGGGTATTTAGCATAAAGTAACTTTGACAATTATAGGGCTTGTCTTCAGTCGAAAAATAATAATATATGATCTGTGATGACACGTTAAACACAATTTTTTATATTTTACATTTTAAAATGTCATTAAAACATATCTTTCTCTGCATTTTTTCTTTAATTAACATTGTTTTAGTGCAAATTCACTCTTGGCCGATTATTGATGATTCTGATTTCGCTATCGTTTGGCGAAGGTTTTTATGTGCCGGGTGTTGCGCCCGTCGAATTTTCTATGGGTCAAAAAATCGATGTTAAAGCTGTAAAAATGACAAGTAGTCGGACCCAGTTGCCTTACCAGTATTATTCACTTCAATTCTGCTTGCCCAAAAATGGTACTTTAATATATAAATCAGAAAATTTGGGTGAAGTTCTCCGAGGCGATCGTATAGTAAATACACCCTATGATGTTCGTATGGCTGAAAACATTAATTGTAAGTTACTATGTCACAAAAAGGATCAGCCTATGAATTGGGACAAAGATCAATCAGCTATAGTTGCAGAGAGGATACGTCATGAGTATTTTGTTCATTTGTAAGATAACTGTCCTATAATATACATTTATTGTCACCTGTGAAAACTTTTTATTTTAGGCTGGTTGATAACTTGCCCGTAGCTACTAGAATCTCAAATGTTAATAATCCCAATGAAATAACTTACGAGCATGGGTACCGTTTAGGACAAATTGAGGGTGAAAATATATATATTAACAATCACTTAAAATTTATTATATCATACCATATGCACACAAAGTAAGTTTTGTTTTTCGTTTTCCTTGATTACTTCTTAATCACTGTTTGATGTAGAAACAAATATCGCGTAGTTGGTTTTGAGGTTGAGACCGCTTCAGTCAATTATAAAGATATAAAATTCGAGGGCGATTCTTGTAATTTTCCGGATAATGCAAGACCGCAAACGGTAATACCACAATATATTCAAAGTTATTAAACAACTACATAAGTAATTTTTTCTATTTATTTTAGGTAAATCCAATTTCGAATACAAAATTATATTTTACTTATTCTGTAGAGTGGAAAGAATCCAAAGTTAGCTGGGCTTCTAGATGGGATATATATCTTGGAATGAAAGACGTCCAAATTCATTGGTTTAGCATTATCAACTCGCTCGTGGTTGTATTTTTTCTTTCAGGTTTACAGAAAATTATATTTCATTTAATATTAAAATCAATATAATTGTTTGTAGGTATATTAACTATGATTATGATACGGACTCTTCGTCGAGATATCGCACGCTACAACACTGATGACAACATAGAGGACACGCTAGAGGAAACGGGATGGAAGTTGGTCCATGGTGACGTCTTTCGTCCTCCGAGAAATACGCGTCTGTTTTCTGCAGTTATCGGCAGCGGAATACAGATATTTTTCATGGCATTAATAACAATATGTAAGTTTGCGTTTTTTCTACTAAATATATTAATCCTTTGCCTCGCTATATAACATGCTTAGTGATCCAATTAACTTGTGTTTGTAAGCAAGAATCCTTATTATTTCGATAGTTAGCGAATCAAATCACACTTTTTTAGAGTAATTACTTTAAAAACAGCCTTCTATTCGACTTTTGTGGTAGCGAAATATATCCTATTAGCACCAAGTGATTGACCAATAAGAAAGCTCTTTGACAGGCAGTTCTTTGAAGACCATAAATTATCTGTTTTTATGCCACTAATTTTTCAAAATAATGTTTCAGTTTTTTGTATTTTCTCGATTTTTAGTGTTGTCTAATCATTTAATAGTGTTATATTTTAAATTAAATATAAGTAATAAGTTTATTGTAGTTTTCGCTATGCTTGGAATGTTGTCACCGTCTTCCCGAGGAGCTTTAATGACTTCAGGCATTTTTATGTACGTTTTCATGGGAACGATTGCTGGATACTTTTCTGCACGTCTTTATAAAACTATGAAAGGACGAGAATGGAAACGTTCGGCATTTCTAACTGCTACTTTATATCCTGGAATTGTTTTTGGGTATATTTTGTATAAAAATTATAATTTAAACGTGATGTCACTTTTTTTATAGAACCGGGTTTATAATAAATTTCTTTATATGGGACAAACATTCAAGTGGCGCAGTCCCATTCACCACAATGATTTCGTTACTGCTTTTGTGGTTTGGAATATCAGTTCCCTTGGTCTATTTAGGATACTACTTTGGCTATCGAAAGCAGCCATACCAACATCCTGTCCGAACCAATATGATACCAAGACAAGTTCCCACACAGCACTGGTACATGAATGTTGTGCTTAGGTAAAAATCATAATTACTTACCAAATTTAATAATTTAATGTTTATATTTCAGTACGTTAATGGCGGGAATTTTACCTTTCGGAGCGGTTTTCATTGAATTGTTTTTCGTTTTCACTGCTATTTGGCAAAACCAATTCTATTATTTGTTCGGTTTCCTCTTTCTCGTATTTTGTATATTAGTTGTCAGCTGTGGTCAAATATCAATAGTTATGACATATTTTCAATTATGTGGAGAGGTAATACATTTTCATAAAAAAAAATTAAAACCAAACCAAGAAACTAATATATATTTTATATTTCATAGGATTACCGCTGGTGGTGGAGAAGCTTTATCGTTTCTGGTGGTTCGGCTGTGTATGTGTTATTCTATAGCATTTTCTATTTTTTTACCAAACTGGAGATTACTGAATTCATTCCTACGCTCCTCTACTTGAGTTATACAGGTGCGCTCTTTCCTAACTTATGTTAAAATATTTAAATAATAATTTTATACATCATTTCAGGAATTATGGTACTAACCTTTTGGCTACTGACCGGAACAATTGGCTTTTTTTCCGCTTATAGCTTTATCCGAAAAATATACGGTGCGGTTAAAATAGATTGATTTTAAATATATCACAAATATTTTTGATTTCTTGTTATAACATATATAGATATGTTTCAGCTTAAAAATTAATTTACGACTATTAGTGTATATTTACATTTAGTTGACTAGGATTTGATAAATGGTATCATCCTTATATTTATAATATAATGAAAGAAATGCTTAATTTAATTTTATTGTATGTATTATAATAAGTCAAATCCTTTTTATGCATATAAATATGCTTAATATTATTTTTTGGCATTGTGATATTGAGCATCTTTGCTGCATAAAATATACATATGTAAAATATAAAATGACCGGAATTAGAGAAAATAAGGAATTTGGTTAAATCAAAAATTTTCCACTGCAGATGCAAAAAAGGAAAGTTAAAGAGTTTTAGGTTTAACCGAAATTTTCTCGCAACTTTCAAGGATTAAAATTAGGTAAATACTTTCAAGTACTGGCAAAACTTTATATTATAAAGGACTAAGGGTGTAACCGAACACTTTGCCAGACAATTTGCGGCGATAAAAATGTGTTCCAATATAAGCAAAACTATACTATTAAACAATGTTGCATAAGTATTCAACATATTATATTTGACGAAATTGTGAATGTGTTAGTCATATTTGGTATTTTGCTTACTTATAATATAGGTAATAATATTGTTTACTTATAATAGGTACGTAGTTTCATATCCGAAATATTTCTAACTAGGAAATAATATACTATATTCGTGGTGTTGGAAGTTCTGATTAGATATCCACAATTTTTGTTTCATATTGTTACCAAAAATTCACGTAGAGCGTGATACTTTGAACCATTGTATAAACCTACAAGTAACAAATCCTATCATTTTCACCCATACCTACACAGGCGAAAGCTTATAGAAAGACAGAAATTACATTAAGAATGCAATAGAATGAGGGAAGACTCAGGACAAAAACCCAGACAGTTCGTTAGGGTTTCCTAAACATTCTACTACTAAAACGGTCAAATGCCTTAGAAACTGCACGAATGTGTTGCCGTGTCATGCTATCCAATTTATTATTTTAAGTACGTTTTTGTTAAATTTTCAAATATATTTCGATTATTAAAATTCATTAAGATTAAATTTACCTAGTTTTGATTAAAATGTATTTATTGTATCAAAATATTAGTAAATCTTTTCTATTTTATAAAAAATATTTCAAGGATACATCTATTTTTGTTTAAATTATTACAAATAGTTTAGTTTTGTATATTTATTGTATATTTAATATGTGTGAAAATAGTCCTCTTGGCGAATCTAAGACCCAAAAAATATTGCCAACGCGCCTTTACTGCAACCCACTACTACTATTTTTACTACTTACTATTTTTAACTTTTATTTAAATCTCTGTGCCGAAAAATCAACTATTTCGAACAGGTGATCTCAGCTGTTGACGGCCATATGATTCTTTTGTTACTTGTATGTTTCTGCAATGATCTCTTGCACTGGTATACTCTAATCCGATTTCACAATTTTCACCAACACAATAGTACGCCATGAGCAAAAATAGTAGGACTTCGGGGGAATGTTTAGTATCGCGCCGGTTAAGTATCGTTTATGGAGAAAAACAGGGTCGGGCTATCCCC